ACTGAAAAATCTGTTTTTCACTTCAAACTGACAGTTCATTTAATAACTATACTTCTCACTACCCACAGAATTAAGATGCATTTCTAAAAGATTAATGATTTCTAACTTTGCTGAGTGAGCATTATATGAAGTTTGGGTAACAGCATATATGTTAAAGCTTGGTTATTACTTTGCACTGTGGCCTAGGGCTAGTTACTTAACCTCTCTGAGCTTCAGATTTCTCTGCCTACCTAATGGAGCTAATAATACATATTTTATATCTAGCCCTTAGAGGGTTTTGGTGAGTATTAAAAGAATTTTGTCAAATGCCTTTTTTTTGTATTTGTGAGATGATTTTGTAGTTTCTATGCTTTATTCTATTGATATGGTGTATTACATTAATTCACCTTCATTTGTTGAAACAATCTACATTCCTGGCATAAATTTCATTTGGTTGTGATGTACAATCTTTTTTATATGTTTCTGAATTTAGTTTGCTAATACTTTCCTGGGGACTTTTGAATACGTACCCATAAGAAATATTTTGTGATATTCTTTTCTTGGGATGCCTTTTTTTTTTGTATCAGGGCAATACTGGCCTCATACAATGATGTGAGAATTACTTCCTCCTCTTTTTTTTTTTTTGACGCTTTTATGAAACGTTAATTCATCTTTAAACATTTGGTAAAATTCACTAATGAAGCCATCTGGACTTCTCTTTGTGGGAAGTTCTTTTACTAAGTTAATTACTAACGCAATCTCTTTACTTGATGTAGATCTATTCAGATGTTCTATTTCTTCTTGAATCAGTCTTGGTAGTTTGTATCTTTCTAGGAATTTCTCATTTAATATCCATTATCTAATTTGTTGGCATATAATTTTTTCGCAGGATTCTCTTAATACCACTTTTTATTTCTGTAAGATTGTTAGTAATGTCTTTTGTTTCATTCCTGATTTTAGTGACTTGATCCTTCTCTCTTTTCATCTTAAATGATCTAGATAAGGATTTGTCAATTTAATTAGTCTTCTCAAAGAACCTATTTTTGTTTTTATTTTCCCTATTTTTCTATTCTCTACATTATTTCCATTCTAATTATGTAATCTGTCTCCTGCTTTGTGTTTAGTTAGTTCTTCTTTTTCTAGTTTCTTCAGGTGGAAAGTCAGGCTATTGATTTGAGACCTTCTCTTTTAATGTAGGCATTTACAGCTATAAAATTTCCCTCTAAGCACTGCTTTGGTTCGATCCCATAAATTTTGATATATTTTGTTTTTGTTTTCATTAATCTCAATTTCTTACATTTCCCTTGTGGTTTCTTTTTTGACTCATTGGTTGTTTAGAAGTGTGTTACCTAATTTCCACAAACTTCTGAATTTCCAAAATTTCCTTTTGTTATCGATTTCTAATTTCATTCTATTGTGGTCAGAGAACATCTTTTGTATGACTTTCTTTTAAATTTATTGAGATGTGTTTTATCGCCTAACAGATGGTCTACCCTGGAGAGTGTTCTGTATGCACTTGAACAGAATGTGTATTCTGCTGTTGGGTGGGGTGTCTGTAGGCGTCTGCTTTGTCTAGTTGGTTTATTGTGTTGCTCAAGTATTCTGTTTCCTTGTTGACCTTCTGTCTAGTTGTTTGCCCATTACTGAAAGTGGAGAACTGAAGTCTCCAACTATTATTGTTGAATTGTCTATTTCTCTCTTCAATTTTATCATTTTTTCCAAGTGATTTGGGGCTCTGTAGGTAGGTGGATATATGTTTATAGTTGTTATATCTTCTTAGTTGATTGACTCTCTTATCATTATCAAACGTTTTTCTTTGCCTCTAGTAACAGTTTTTGTCTTGAATTTAATTTTGTCTGATATCAGAATAGCCATTCCAACTCTCTTTTGGTGCCTGTTTGCATGGTATATCTTTTCCCATCCTTTTACTTCCAACCTACTTGTGTCTTTGAATCAAAAATGTGTCTCTAGTGGACATCATAGAGTTGGATCATGTTATTTTATCTGTAATGCCAACCTCTGCTTTTGACTGGAGTGCTTGGTCTATTTACACTTAATGTAATTCCCTTTATGTTTACCTGTGTTGTAATATTACAACTGTTCTTCATTTCTTAATATGGATTCAATTACTGTCCTTTCATGTCAGCCTGAAGGACTCCCTTTAGTATTTCTTGTAGGGAAAGTCTGCTAGTAACAAGTTCTCTCAGTTTTTATTTAACTGGAAATATCTTCATTTTTCCTTCATTTCTGAAGGATAACTTTCTGCATATAGAATTCTTGGTTTATAATCTTTCTTTCAGTGCTTTGAATATGTCATCCCACTCCCTCTGGTCTCCACGTTTCCTGATGAGAAATCAGCTTCTAATCTTTCGAGGAACCCTTATACATGATATGTTCCTTTTTTCTGGCTGTTTTCAAGATTCTCTATCTTTGACTTTCAACAGTTTGATGATGATGTGTCTGGGTATCGATCTCTGTGAGTTTACCCTATTTGCAGTTTATCAGACTTCTTAGATGTGGCAATTCATGTTTTTCATCAAATTTGGGAATTTTTTGACAATTGCTTCTTCAAATATTCTTTTTATCTTCTTCTCTCTCTCCTCCTTTCTAGGACTCCCATTATACTTATTTTGGTATGATGGATGGTGTCTAGTCACTCTTTGAGGCTCTGTTCGTTTTCTTTATTCTTTTTCCTTATTTTCCTGAGACGAGATAATCTCAATTGATCTGTCTTTAAGTTTTCTGATTCTTTCTTCTGCCTGTTTAAAATTCTTTTGAGACCCTCTAATAATTTTTTTTTAATTTGTTATTGTACTTTTCAACTTCATAATTTCTTTTCTTTTCTTTTTCTTTTCATAGTTTCTGGCACTTTACTGATATTCTCTATTTGGTGAGACATCATTCTCATACTTCCCTTTAGCTCCTTGGCTACGTTTAGTTCCTTTAATTCTTTGAACATATTTAAAACAGCTGATTTAAGGTCTTTGCGAGGTAAATCCAGTGTTTGGTCTTCCTTAGTGACAGCTTCTATTGACTGGCTTTTTTTTCCCCCATGTGTGAGCCATATGTTCCTTTTTCTGTGTATGTTTTGTACTTTTTTATTGAAAACTGGGCATATAAAATCATATAATGTAACAACTCTGGAAGTTAGATTCTTCCTTTTCTCCAGGGTTTGCTATTGCTTTTCTGTTGCTGCTGTTTGTTTCTTTGATGACTCTTCTAAACAAATTCTATAAAGTCTGTATCCTTTGTCATATGTGGGCCCTGAAGTTTCTGCTTGGCTATCTTAGTGGGAAGCGAATGATTGGTCACAGGTGTCCTTAACTGCCTGGAACCAATAAGTTCCCAGTCTTTGCCGACAAGCTCTGTACGTGTGTTGGGGGCATGTGTTCAACCCTGCTTTAGCCTTCACTTCCTGCTTACATGGATCCTCAAGGTTAGCCGAGGAAGAGTATCAAGTGGAATGATAGTTTGGAAAAATACAAATGTAAGCTGTTCAGACATTTGCAGTCTGTTATCTGTTGTTATTCTCATACCAGATCATTTGCTCTTTGTAAGCACAGGTATTTTCTGACTTTTAAACACATAACTTATATGTCAACACTGACTTATATGCCTTAGACCTCACAACCACTGCCACGGACCCAAGTTGAAGAAACAGAAAAATAAAAGAGCTTTGAGCTTTTAGAGAATCTGTGGTTTCATAAGAAAAAAAAAGAGCTTCCACAAGCAGAGTTAGTCCTGGGTAGTGTTTATAAAGCTGCCTGCATCTTAACTTGGGATATTCTTTAAATTTCAGGTTCGTGCCTCCATTCTGAAACTTTTGATTGAGAATATCTTGGGTGGGGTCCAGGAGGCTACATGTTTAGCTCCCCAGGTGATTCTTATGCACACTGATGACTGAGACAGTTCAGGGGAGATGATCCTGTAGATGCCTTCACATAAGGGACTAACTGGCTCATGATGTAAACGGTGCTCAAATATTAATCTCCCCCTTTCAATGCCTGATTTTTAAAAAATTTCACTGTATCATTACATTTCCTTGAATTCCACCAATTAGAGATTTATTTGCATCATGAGGATATTTTTTAACAGCTGCTGGAGTTAAAGGATTAACTTTAACTCACCGCTCTTTAAAAATTAATCAGATTGCATTTATACAAACTGACCAAGATGACTTACAATGAAAGAAGGATATTTTGTTTTGTTTTAATTTGAAGGGAGGATAGATACTTTCAGGGGATTCAGAAGACTTTAGGGGGAAAATAAGCCTGTGTTAATTTATGCAATAAAAGCATGGGTTGGGAGGGAGGGTAGGAGAAGATACCAGAGAAAACAGTGGGTACACTTGCCCGTTTCAAATTATTGTGCATACAACCAGAAAAGGGAGGGGAAAATTTCTTTCTCCTTTCTGCTTTCAATATTTCCCTTTCTCTTATGACCTAGAATTCAGGGCAGTAAACTTTGTATTAAGGAATTACATCGGCTGCTCTAGGGTTAGTTAGGCTCTCGTGGGTTCTCCGCAGATCTCATCACCACTTCATCCACCGTGTGGAAGATTGTCTTTTTTGGAAAAACGTCTCCTGGTTTCCAAATAACACACTTCCTAATGAGCTTTTTGATTCAATCCACTCGAGAGTTTGATGTTGGATCCAGTTCAGATGTACGAAATTTATCTGTGTTAACTTAAAATTCTAAGCTAATCTCTTCCAACCATCTGTATACTTTTAGGCCATTTTCTCCTTGAGGAGTTTTGTGTTTAGTTAATACAAGTTCAATGTTGAAGAAACAATTAGGGGAGTTTAGATCTTGATCCCATTTAATACATTCAAAAATGAAGCGTAATTTTAAAAAATCATTGCATGTTTTGGGCATCTACTGCTCTGATTTGCCTCTATTCATGTGAGAAATAGAGAGATGAGTAACCCCTCCCCCTTCAGGATGCGTTATCCTGCCTTCAGTTTCCAGAGTTCTGTTACAAATGCACAGACTATTAAGTCACATTTCTTATTTCCTTCGAGGTATCGCACAGCGATGTACAGCTATCAAGTACCACTTTTCTCAGCCGATCCGCTTACGGAACATTCCTTTCAACTTGACCAAGACAATACAGCAAGATGAATGGCACCTGCTTCGTGAGTATTTCTGGGAAACAGTCGGAGAGGAAACGGTGTCTTTCTGAACAAAAAGTGTTCCCACCCGCCCTCTCAGGGTTGGACTGAAAGATGCTGTGCTGACCATACGTGGGCCTCCGGGGACCCCATCCGACCTGGTCAGAGACTCACAGAGTCATTTCACTGAGCTGTGGTCACCACTTGTTTACAGATCAAACGTGGGAAAATCAGGCGTGGGGCTTTGTGAGACAGGGCAGCGAGCGTGTCTGTCCCGGTGGCATCGGTAGGTACACAGGCCACCTCTGGAGCCTTTTCTCTAGCAAGCCACGTGCTGCAAGGATGTGACTTGGCACTTGTCTTAGTGAACTATGGAGATTAGACCTCAGGTGCTCTTATTTTGGTTTTGTTTATCCAAGATTCATTTTAGTGACTGTGTCTATCTCAGACCTCGGTATTTCTGCTAAGATACCTTTATGAGTGTATGTTGTAATTTTCTCAGAGGGTGTCTGTTACTTCCATGTCCCAATGGCAGGAACTATCTTTTTCACTGTCAGGAAGATGTGAAACTCTAGAAAGGAACATGAAAGGTGACACCCAAGAGGGTGGATATTTACCTGAAAACGGTTGATTCATATGCCACCTAGAGATAGATAATTCAAGAGAGAAGAAAAAAAACCAGGCTTAATTCTTTTTAGTGTTTACCCTAATCAGAGGTGGACATTGTCATCTTCTAGTGAAATAAGCAGCAAGGATGTCAGCAATCTTGTTTGGTGACCAAAGTCACTATGCGAAACCAAGCAGAGAATCATTTTGTAAGTAAATCTCTCTGCAGATCAAAGGGCTCTATTTTGAATCTCAAACACGTAAATGGGAGCTCTTAAGATACTGCCACAGCAGTGGTGTAATTTTAAAAATATTATTTCTAATTTAGGACGTGGAAAGTCATTGGCTAAAATGTGGCTTATTTCTTAAGAGTATAACTTCGTGAACATTCTTTCTTGCTGGCTGATCTTAACGATCATTTCTTGGCAGATCTTAGAACCTCATCTCAGTGCTCTTATGTCTTAATTTTTTATGAGCATGTTTGGCATTCTTTGCCTTAATCATCGGTCCAAAAGCCACATAATCACTGGTTTTAGTCAGGTGAGAGAAGATCATCACAGGGTCCTGAAAAAGAGCTGTATCTCTTTAAGAGTTTGTACCCTGTTCCTGCCCAGCAAGACAGCACTGAGCATTCTCTTAATCCTCTTTGAGGTTCTCAGGGAGAGATGCTTCTTACAGTTTCATACATGGCTCTTTCCAAGAAAGTTACACGTGGTGATCTGTACTGTGTTTACCAGACGAGCTTAACATGTCTGGTACTAATGCAAATCCCATGTGGGTTATGTCTGAACCTTTTGCTTTTTAATGGCCATAGAAAATAAAACTTGAACCATAGGGAATTTAGGAGGTTGTGAGATAATGGTGGTGAACTTACATCGTATTAGATGTCTCAAAACAACTAACACCTTTACATTAAACAGCCCCTTTAAATGATCCGTGCCCGTGACTCCTAGCTCTGCAGTGTCTACACGTCCTCTTCTAGGTTGCGATGCCCTGCTTTAGTTTAGATGCTCTGAGCTGGAGATGAGAACTCCCTTTAAAAGAAAGGGATGGTCCACGTGTGACAAGGGCAGGACTGGAAGCTACCGTCATCCACCCTCTCTATCCATCACCTCTGAGTCACCCGGGAGCCACAGGAACATACAGTGAGGTGGCGGCACCCTCGCAGGGTAGCCCACACTCACACACTTGGGTTGTGCCTCTGGTCCAGGCTCTGTGTGTGCCCAGATGTCCACGATCCACCTTGCCCAGACCTGTTGACTGGCCTCAGGGGCAGACTTACGTTTAGGATCTGTTGCTTTCAGGAGGGTCATAGAAATTTAGCTCACAATTTTAAAAATTAGCTTTGTTCCCGAAAAAGGGAAATTGAAAAAATAAAATGGCAGGAGGGTGCGCAGTCAGAGGAGAGGTGTACCCAGGAATAGGTAGGCAGTCCAGCTCTTGGTGTGGCCTTGAAGATGAGGGCCGGGGGCTGGGTTCCTGGCCCAGTGATCACAGTTGTGTTTTTGTGATAAACCAGATTTGATGGTTGGGTACACAGTGGGGCTTGGCCCGTGGGAACAGTCCTTCCTTAGCCTGGGTACTTGGGTGCTTGGGTTGTAGGGCCTGTGTTTAAGGAGAGACGGTATTTATGAGAGCTGTCTTATGTGTACATCTTGGGCCCTATTTCTGTTACAATTGCCTTCACTTTCTCATGTCTCTTTTGAAAACAGGCAGGAGTCAATAGAACTGAAAAATAAAATAATTGGCATCCTAGGTGTGCAGGTAAAACCGTATTTCACTGTAGCTCACTTTTGAGGCTCTTCCCCCCAAATCAGATTAATTACAGCCACAACAGTGGTGGTAACCTACATTTCTGTTGCTCTTTTAAGGATGATGAAGATATTTGGCAAACCTTCCTCACTCTCAGTTTGCTGAGTGACTTGCTCTCTGTTACCCAGGTTCACCCTGGTGTGGCCTTCCAGTCTGTTTCCTGCTGGGTGTGGACTTGTCCATGGACTCAGAGAGGGCAGAAGTTGACCCCTCAATTTGTTAACACCCCATCTTTTCCTGTGTGAAATACCTGGGAAGAGAATTTCCTAAATCACCCTGGCCCCAGAGACCCTGCGTCTGTTCACGTAACTTGCTAATTTTCACCATGTCTACAGGGCGCTTCGTTCTCTAATTTTCAAAATTCTCTAATTTTCTTCCGCTGACTTTTGCGAATGTTTGTGTTTTGAGATTAGATTTAAGAAGAATCACTGCCGGCTTCCTGGGCATGGCTGTCGCCGTTCTGCTCTGCGGCTGCATTGTGGCCACCGTCAGCTTCTTCTGGGAGGAGAGCCTGACCCAGCACGTGGCCGGACTCCTTTTCCTCATGACAGGTACGCAGAAGGCCTCCGCACCTCTCCCTGCCAAGAGGGAGGGTCGCCGCGCCTGCAGCTAGCTTCACTTTGTTCTCTCTCCGTTCATTTACTTTTCGCTTGTGAGAAAAGCGACCAGAGGGTCGTTTGGCTTTGGTAGGTAACGCAGACTTTAAAGAAAACAACAGTGTTAAAAATGCAGCCTTGATTTTCCCCTTGTGGCCCGTTACAAGGTTAGATGGAAGTATCTTGGGTTTACTCTCCCTATGAGCCAGCTCTGATTTTTCTGTCCCATGCTGTGCCCCCAGCCTTGGCCTGGACTCTGGGCCAACACGGGCCACTGGAGGAGAGAGAGGGGGCTAGCTCTCCTCCTGCTCCTTCGCGGAACGTCAGTGTGTTAGTGATTAGTGAGTGCTCAGATGACAGTTTCACAAAGCATTCTCAGTAGCAGAAGTCAGATTACTCTGGCGGGGTGGCCATTTGGAGTAAGCTTATTTCTGCTCCCCTGCGGTTCTGTTACTCAGGTGACCACGACTGGGTTTTCTAGCCCTTCTCACTGTCTTGGTCACTCCCTCAGGCCCACGTTGATGGGAGGTGGCCGCACCCCTCGGGCTGGCACCATTTTCTCTGTCCTTCAGGGCTGACAGGGAGGAGGCACCTTGCCTTCCGGTTGGTCACCCCATCTGCCTCAGTAACGCACTTCCGGGACAGGGGCCCTTCCTTCTCATCCTGTCCACTCCTGTCATGCCCATGAGATGGCATTGTCATGGGCAACAGGCTGGAGTTAGGCTGGTCATTGTAAGCATCCCCACAGAGCATTCAGAAGTCACATGAAATGCTGCTGCAGAGTACCAGCTAAAGTTCTCCAGATTTGGGTGAATACACAGAGGCTGGAGGACTGCAGCACAGGGAGGCTAACATTCTGGTTAGGTTTGGAGGAGGATTTGTACCCTCAAGACCAACCATTGGGTGGGTGCCCGCATACAGGATTCATTTAAGATCCAAATTATAGAAGGAGCAGGCGAGGCTGGCAGAGAATCAGAGAGGCCTGTGCCGCCCAGGGGATTTCTTTAAGCTTAATGGTCATGAGCAATCCCCCCCACCCCGCCTTCTTCCCTCCCTTTATTAGTGGAGCGCCCGTTTTCCTGACTCTTGTCCTCCCATCCATCAAAGAAGTGCAGATTCACAGGAAAGACCGCACGCCGCACTCTCCCATCAGGAATATGAACGTTGCTGAGGGCCAGACAAGAGGAAATCCTCAGTAGGAGTCGTTTTTAAAGACACTTTTAATATGGGTAATGCATGAATAATTTAGGATGCTCTTAGATAGAAAACAATTGTTGGCATTGAAATAAATCACAGGACCATAAAAGCCAGGCTTAGTGAGTGTTCCTTGGAAGGAGGAGGGGCTGGTTTGGTTTTAAATAAAAGGAGGAGGGGGGAGTTCAGTCTTGGGTGGGCTCAGGGGAGACCCAGGTGCTGAGTTCCTCCAGCGTGTCCCACCTTCCCCTGCTCAGCTCATTCTTGATCCATCTGCGGACTGTGAGGGAGAGAGGGAGAGAGGAAGAGACTAGCTAGTCCGGGCCGGACTAGCTCATGGCTCAGCAGGATTTATCATCAAAAGTCCCCGTGCAATTTAGGTAAACAAAAGCGAAACAAGCAGAGCAATAGCCATAGTAGCAAAAACCACAGCCACCCCTGAAGCACCCCAAACTTATAAACCTGAAGTTTGATAACCAGTCCAGAAGGACCAATGGACACAGCATTGTTTTTTTTGTTGTTTTTTTTTTTTTGCTTTTGATTGCCCAAACATTTTTTTTGGAATAAAGGGGAAATCCATTTCTAGATCCCACCACCTGAAAAATTAGGTTGTTAAAATTTTTTCCTTATTCTGGACCAAATCTTACCCAAATGTTTTGTCTCATAAAACACACACACACACACACACACAAACAAAAACAAAAAAAGCCAAACAAAAGAAATGAAATCAACAAGGAGCTACTATATAGCACAGGGAACTGTATTCAGTATCTTGTAGTAACTTATAATGGAAAAGAATCTGAAAAAGAATATATGTATGTAACTGAATTATTTTGCTGTACACCTGAAACATTGTAAATCAACTGTAGTTCAATTTAAAAAAAAAGAAAAGGAAAAAATGTTTGCAGCCATCATCACATGGAAAGTATGTCGTTTTCTGGGCTTCCATTTAGCATCGTAACCACAAGCATTCCCCATGTCCCTGTGTTGTTCTGTGTTTGGTTTTTAATAGCTTTTAGTCGCTGCGTGTTCTTCCATGGAGTGGATTTGCTGTGTTGTGGCCCCTTCCTGTGGGATTTAGGGAGGTTTGTTTCATTTCTGCTACTACAAATAACCCCTTTCCTTTCCCCTTCCCTTTGTAAACACTGAGATAACCATGTTAATCCACGGACTGAGATAAATTAGCAGTAGGACCTTCCTGTGTAGCAGCGGGAGGTGAGAGCAAATCAGGGTTAAAAGAATGTATTTTAATTAAGCACAAGTGTCTTCATCAGCCCTCGTCGGCGTCACTCCCACAGATTTCTGAGGCTAAACTTAGCCTCTTCTAATGCGCCGGCATCTTCATTCTCTACCTGAATTTATTAGCCAGACCTTCAATGAAGATCATCAGTGATGTGACAGTTTGAGATGTTCAGTGGAAAACACTCTCTCCTTCTGCCTTACTGCGCACAGACAGCCCTTGGTTACCCTCCCGCGGAGCAGTCAGTTCTCAGTCCTAGTCCCTGGGGCCTCTCAGGAGTCTTTCAGCCAGAGGACATCCCTCAAGGGCCCCAGATGTAGCCCTTTGACTTCGTGTCCTGTGAGGTTACACCCCCAGCATCACAGAGGCTTCCACAGAGGACTGAGGGAATAAGACTCGTCACCTAGCGGGAAGGGGCTGCCCATTTCCAGGCTACACTGCTTTCAGGCCCTGCGAGTGCGTATGTCCATCAACTTTAAGTGACGCCTTCTATGAGATTGCCATGGTGATCATGATGGCTTATTATAGGTTATAAACATAAATATGTTAAAGGGTTCATTTATTCAATGCAAACATTTTTAAATCCAATTTTTATGTCTCCCTTGTAGGGTTTAAATTATCTTTCAATATACTAAGAGTCTCAAAAATTGGAAAAAGCTTGGTCCTCCCTTTTTGGGGACTGCCATCCCTCTTCACAGGCTGTGCCCTGAGTGACCACGGCTGATGGGGCAGGGCCTTCGGGGCAGCAGAGAAGGAGACCAGCCCAGGCTGTCCCAGCAAAGCTCAGGGAAGGGGAACACCCATGTTAGGCAATCCTTTGTTTTACTTCAATATATTATATTAAAAAAAAAAGACTCCTTTGTAGATGTATTAAATTATCTAAGTTATCCATAGATTATGACCTAAAACTACAGGTCCTTAAAGACGTAGCTGACACCCTTGAGGCCAGGTGCGTCTTGGAATTTATTTTAGAAAGGTAATATAGCGTATACAGTCCATGTTATCTAACACCCCGAACAGGGTCTGAAATCAAATACATTAACATTTCTGTAGCAAAACATATGAATATTCACACTGAGTGAGATCAATAAGGACTATAAATAGCCTCATGTCACGTCAGGTCAGGATTTGCCACTCAGCGAGTTGGCTGCAATCTTTCAGAAGAAGAGCAGATGTTTTTTGAATTTAAGAATTGCAGAGTGTGGATTTTTGTATTCGATTTTTTTTTAAGGTTTGTCTATCTCATTAGTCCTGCCCAGTCATTTAGTGAAGGCAACTTAGGAATAGCTTTTTGAGAAATCTGTGTGAAAAGTAGCATGAGGCATTTTTTTCCTGGAATTGCAAAGAGACCAGAATGATGAGCAGACCGTCTTTTGAAGGAGTGGGAAAAAAAATCAATGTTTATGCCTTTGGGCATTACAGCTACGTTATTTATCAAGCAGGCTAACCAGGGTGAAGCCACTTCCACCCCTTTCTGCCTTTCAAGCATATCAAAGGAGGGCGGTCAGAAGACTGGGCCAAGTTACCCTAATTATATCGTATCAGCTGGCCATGGGCACCGTGAAGATTTTAGGGAAGGAAATTAGGTTGATGATCTGGGAGGGCAGCATACATTTACTTCTGTCCTGATTCGAAAATATCCCTTCCGGTCCCGTAATTCTCTGATATCACGGTATCTTCTAATTAAGAATATTGGCAGAAAACCTTTTAATATTTTATAAGAAAAGTAGCTGCATACAGAGCTCTGTAGAACCAGTAATTATTCACCCTTTTGAAGATGCTACCCGCAATAGCCAGGACTGAGTCTGGGACTTAGGAAACCCTTTCCCCTGGTGCCAGCACGCTGGCTGAAGAGTATCAGGGGTAGCAGCCCTAGGGAGCTCCTGCTGGTCAGGGGAGAAGCAAAGGGGCAGGCAACGCCTAAGAGGAGAAGGGAGGATTTTCAGGAAGGACTATTAATTTGACTTTGAACTTTTGGAATGCAAGGCTAGTGCCTTATGTTGTCATGCCCTCACCCCATATTTTGTAAGATTGCTACTGACAAAAATGCAACTTCATCTGAGAGAATTTGCTTTCCAGGTAAATCCTACAGGAAGCAATACGGGATGCACTGGTTCTTGGCTGTGTAGAACTCACCATATCGCAGAACTCAGTTTTGTTCAGTAGTTTTGCTGCCTCCATGTCCTCGGCACTATTAGACTCTGTGTGGGACTTACAGGAAGTCCGGGAGGTCTCCACTGCTTTTCGCTGAGATGCACACTGCACAGTTGAGTGGAAAGAACACTTGGGGTTCCTGATCACATCAACGTCAAACCAATGATGGCTGTGACCAACAAGAGCTTACTAAACTCAGCTACCTCTAAGATGGTCACAATTGGGTCTGGGACATAGTAGATGCTTGATAAATAACTCTTGAATAACTGATTAACATTAAAATAGTAAAATCTTGCTTAGGCCTATAAACGGAATAGAAATATACTTCATACACTGACTCCTCCTCCCCATGATGCTATCAGCTGAATCGTGCCCCACTCCGCATTCATGTGATGAAATTCTAACCCCTAGTACCTCGGGATATGACTGTATTTGGAGATAAGGCCTTTAAAGAGGTGATTAAGTCTAAATGAGGCCCTTAGGGTGGACTTATCCAGCATGACTGGTGTCCTTATAAGAAGAGGAATTTCAGACGCAGGTGGTTACAGAGGGAAGGCCGTGTGAAGGCACAGGGAGAGGACCACCACCGTCTGTAAGCCAAGGAGAAAGGCCTTGGAGGAAACCAGCCCCGCCAGGACCTGGGTCTCAGCTTTCCAGCCTCCAGAACTGTGAGACAGTGAACTTCTGTTGTCTCTACCACCCAGTCTGGGCTGCTTTGTTACGGCTGCCAGAGCAAACTAATAGACATGAGGACTGTGCACATGGAACCAAAATAGAGCTCCACAGTGTCAGAGCTGCCCTGAGACTGCTCACCCAGCTGCAGCTAAGATGTTTTCATCCTTTAAAAAACACTTTTTCTTAGTGCCTTCAAAGTTAGAAGGGTTTTTCTTTCCCCTCTTTAAGGTATCTTGAATGGGTTAGGTCTGTGTTACAAAAGCTTGTTGCATATGTTGGAAATGGTGCTTTGTCTCCTCTTTTTACGTTTCTTTGTAATAATTAGAAACAGTCCTGCCCATCCCACAAATAAGAGGGGTCACACCTATGTCGGCAGACCTCCTTACGATGTGAGGGTCTGGAGAGGGGGAACTCTTAGATATGCTCTTTTGTTCATCTTTGCTTTCCTATCCCCCAGAGCCACTTCAAGAGTATCTTGCAGGGAGAAAACATGTCACTGAAGACCAGCCTCTGGAGGCTTTTGTGGGAAGGGGGCGGGGCAGACAGAGGGCATATTTCCAGCTCATAGTACCTCCTCCACCACCTCCTCCCTCTCCTGAGAGAGTAAAGGCAGCAGGAAATAAAGCAGGTTTTCATCAAGATTTGACAATGCCTTATTCCAAAAAGAACTTAAGCCACACAGAGCTGTATATATTATTTCAAGATAAAATAAATACAAATAAGTAATATAAATAAGACAAAGGAGCAATCAGGTTTGCAAGGCAAGATGGAGCCAAAGGTGAGATTAGTAGCCAAAAAGCATGCCATGAAGTCCCCTGTTTGTGTCCCTGGTGGGCCACTAATGTAGCTTTAGGGGAGTTTCAGCTCTCTGGCATCTCGGTCAAAGAAAGACATTTTGTTAGTGACGTCATTCACAGTGTCCGTGACATCAGCACAAACCAAGTGCTCTGGGAAAGCACAGCTACTCAGGACACTGAGGGCAGAGAAGGTCATCCTGAGGTTAAATTCTCAGGTTAAGTTTTTTCTTAATCTTTTTCTATTCAGTATGAACTGGGATTGTTATGTTAACATTCATTTCACCAAAAGCAGTTTTATGGAGTGGGCAGGGGAGAGGTGCTAAAAGAATAAATGTTGAGGATAAAATCAAAAGGAGTTTGTGCAGAAAGAAAAATCCATGACATTCAATTTTGCTATTAGCTCCATAATATTGAGTACTAGATTCACTCCTATTTTGGGAAATGTTCTTGCTCTATTCTTGCCATATTTTGGGTAACAGAGTCACAGAAATTTGACACTGCAAGGGACTTCAGGAACCAAGTCCCCCGTTTTTTTCCCTAGATGAGGTTCAGAGAGGTTGGGTAACTTCAAGGTCACACAGTGATTAGTAATAGATCTGGGGACCAGAATATGTATTCCCTGCATCCCAGCCCAATGCATTTGGACATCAAAGGATGCTTAAAAGTCTTAGTTTGAACTCAAAATTTCAGAGGTCATTAAAACCTCGTTATTTGTAAAAAGCCTTGCTTTTAGGTATTCAGCCGTGTGCAGGCAGTTAAATGTAGAATAGAGTTGTTTTTCCTGTGAACAAGTCATTGTTCCGATATTCTTTTACCTGTTAATGCTCCAGAGATCAGTTTTTTCTAACTGGCTTGTTGTTCTGTTACCAGCACTCATTAGAAGGACCTCATTTATATATAAATGCTGTCTGTGTTTTGGTGCCAGTGAAAATATTCATGTAGATGTAAGAACGTTTGCTCTTCACAAAATTTGAAAAAAGCACAGGAGTATTCCTTTTTTGACTGGACCATTCCTTTATGAAATAATTCTTTCCATCATGATCTTTCTTTGGAGAACTCAAAAAATGTTATGTTTACTGTAATAATCCAAGAATAATCTAATAATAAAGCAAGAAGACAGGAGACAATGTTTTATCCTCTTTAGAAAAACAGAATCACTTTAGAGTTTAAAATAGCATTAGGCATAGAGTTAGGAAGTATCAAATTGCCTCAGATCAAGTGTCCTTTCATTTAAAACATTTCTTTTCTAAATGCACATTTGGAAAAAGATTCAGGCAGTGTGCCCTTATATGATTTGAGTGTAGGCAGAATTCTAGCACTTAAAAAATAGCATTGAGGTCATCTTTATTTCCTCCCAGTTGCTGCCTGTTCTGAGTTTGTTTTTCTGCTAGTGTTTATGATCCCCAAAGCTCTATGAAAAAGGGGTAGGGGAGTCTGTTACTTCGAGGCCTGTCTTTTCAGTCCCCAAATCTATGTTTCTGTTTCCTATGGAGATGCTGCTTAGATCCCTAAGGTTACCAAAGCAATTTTCCAGCCAATAGATGTAAACTCCATTGTACATGAGGATAAACCAAAGTATGAAAAAGAGATGTGTAGGACTCGGGGCAGAACTGGACGTTCCAATACTTGACTGGGTGCTGGTTTTTATATTTATCACACATCTTCAGCTCAGCAACTGCTTCATTGTGATCACATGCCCACTGAGGGTGAAATAGAAACATCTACATCCTTGAGTACTAAAAATCCTGCGTTTTTTGTTTTTGTTTTTTTAACTGAAGTACAGTCAGTTACAATGTGTCCATCTCTGGTGCACAGCACAGTGTCCCAGTCATGCCTATACATACATATATTCATTTTCATTTTTTTCCATTAAAGGTTATTACAAGATATTGAACATAGTTCCTTGTGCTATACAAAAGAAACTTTTTAAAATTTATTTTTATATATAGTGGCTAACATTTGTAAATCTCAAACTCCCAAATTTATCCCCTCCCACCCCCTTTCCCTGGTAACTATAGGACTGTTTACTAAGTCTGCGAGTCTGTTTCTGTTTCGTAGATAAGTTCATAGTGTCCTTTTTTTTTTTTTTTCCCATTTTGGGCTTTTGAAGCATTTTTTTTAAATCAGAATGCTGATTTTAGTGTTCTGAAAGGATGATTATACATAATGTGTTGGTATAAAAAAGTAAAATTTGGGGTCTGTCCCTTTTCCTTATGCCACCCAAATTACCTACATTCTGAATGGATGAATTATATGATCTTGAAATGTATGATGTCAGCTATTTTACATCAATTCCAACTTCCTGGCTTTAATTTATATTATTTAAAATCTTTTATTCATTTATTTAAAAAAAGATTTTTGAGGCCCTAGAATGTGCCAGGTGCTGTGCCTTAAAAAACTTGTAAAAATTCATTTCAGACATTTGTCATGGGCAACATGATAAATACTAATGATAATGGTTATTGAAAAAGAAAGCAGACTTTGTATGATGACTGCAACTGTCTAAAACGGTGTCAACTCAGGTGTAGAACAAAGGGAAATGAAAATCATTTGTAATAGGTTTCAGTGATTATAGAAGATTTTTTCCCCTTAAAAATAATTAAAATTTTTACCAAGTCATTTTTAAGAATAAAAAAACCACAATTCCAATATACATACCATTTAGTCAATAATTCTGAATAATTCAAGTTATCAGAATTTTCCCCTCTGTCTCTTTCACTCCTGCATCTCTGGAACCTCGCATTCAGTCTGGGCTGTAAAGGTTTTGCAGTGTCTGGACTGATCATCTCGTCCGTTGATCTGACTGTCACAAAGGCCTCTCTGGCATTTGCCGTGTAGCAGGCAGGACTGTAACCGATCATTCTGCTCTCTTTGTGTTATTTATAGGAATATTTTGCACCATTTCCCTCTGCACTTACGCCGCCAGCATCTCCTATGATCTGAACCGGCTGCCCAAGCTGATTTACAGCCTGCCTGATGACGTGGAGCACGGCTACAGCTGGTCTATCTTTTGTGCCTGGTGCAGTCTAGGCTTTATTGTGACAGCTGGAGGTCTCTGCATCGCTTACCCATTTATCAGCCGGACCAAGATCGCACATCTAAAGTCAGGCAGGGACTCCACGGTATGACTGTCCTCACTCAAGTTCATAGCTTGGTGGCCAGTCTACAGTGCAGATGACTCTTAAAGGGGTCAGACCGGAGTTCGAGTCAGGACCCCAAGCACAAAACAAAACGGTCTTTTACATTCCAGCCTGTTGCCTGCCAGCCCCTTCTGGATGACTGATATCAAATCATGCAAAACCTCCATACCTTTCTAAGGACAAGACGACTGTGGATTCAAGTGTTCAAGTGCTTTAATGACTCTTTATGCTTTGACTCTGAGGCATGGGGAGCAGTGCTATGTAACATTTCTGGGTTTTAAAGAAAAAAAGGAAACTGCAGTGGAAACATTTGTATGATTGCCGTTTATTTCAGAAAGTTTGTATATAACAATTCCCCGAGAGTCGTTTCTATTGGCAAAAGGACTCCTAACAAAGCGAGTGTAATTTTCTTGTCATCGTACCATGCCTGTTCAATTTTAACGCAGCACCTTCAGAACTTGTCCTAATGGTGTCTTGTTGTGTCAGCACCAAATACTTGTGCATTACTTGTGGATGTTCCTTGTCACAGGGAGATTCTTCTGTTGCTGCCTTATGTATTTATTTTTAATTGAAGTCTCTTCCCCGTCCTTGTACTAGAATCAAAAATCATAAGAAAACCCAATCAACCGTGGAAGAGCGAATCTGTAATACTATGCAGTATTGTTTGAAGTCCTATCTGTCGTTCAGCCTGTCTCTTTATGTTAACTGGATTTCTGCATTAAATGACTGCCCCCTTGTTAATCTGGGCGTGTTTTCCCATCTTTCAGCCCTGGCGCTACATCTCCCTAGCCCTTAGGACAGGCGAAGACTCTAAGACTCTCATCAGGCCGTATGGACTGCTTCATTTCAGTTAGGGCGGTCACTCTTATCTTTTGTAGCAACCACACACTTGCTAATTGATAAGAGATGTCGTTTTTCAAACTTCTTTTAAAAACCTTATTGTAGTATTTTGAGTTTTCTTCTCTGTTTACCATCTGCCTGGTATTTAGCCAGTGATAGATTCCTGGTCTCTGGCCTTATCCTTGGACCTCCTAAGCCAGTGGGTTTCAACCTTGGCTGCACACCAGAATCACCTGGTTAATTCTTTAGCTGTACCTAAACTGGACCCCACCCCAGACCAATTAATTCAGAATGTCTGCAGCTGGGTCTGGGTTTGAGTATTTTTGGAAAAAAAAACAACAAACATCTCAGATAATTCTGCTGTAGAGCTGGGATGGGAGCCACTGGACTGGGCCAGAGCTGCGGTCATCTCCTTAGTAGCTAACATTTATTTAGCACTTACAAATTTGCCAGTAACTGTTTTTTTCCAGGTATAATTTTATTTAATCCTCTTAAAAGTTCTATGAGGTAGTAGTGCTGGGCTACAAGCCTTGTAGCTGCCCAGCCTTGAGACCGAAGCAAGAGGCCGGAGAGAGACGTCAGTGGTTTATTGGACAGGGGATTTTACACATCGGAAGCAAGGTCCTGGAGCAACACCCCAGTATGTGCAACAGATGGCGGGCAGGACATGGCAACAGCCTTCACTACCCAGGGAGAAGGAGGCTACCATCTATAGGGGGAACTGACACCAGGTTGGCTCATCAGTTACCAGGGAAACCAGCAGCTGAGGCACGAGGCACGAGGCACGTCCCTCACAGCCCCTCAGGTTACCGAGGATCATGAGGGAAAATGCTGCCCTTTAATAAACTGGTAGATGAAGCTGTTCTGGCCTAAGGATTAGAAACATCACTGGGCGGGGCAGAGGGTGAGTGCATTCATGTGAGCAGGGTGTCTGGGAAGCAGGGGCTGGTCAAGCAGGGGATGCACAAAGAGAACCGCTGTCAGCTGAGGGATGCTGAAGAGCGTTTCCAGGAGGTGAGCTGCCCAACTGGAAGGTGTGAGGAGCGGGCATAATGCGCGAGGAGCCCACACGGAGCAAAACAGCACTTCATTGCATTACAAGCGGGTGGCGTGCGTGGTGGGCGGCGTTCAGGTGTATGCACTTGCCCTTTTATAATACCAGTGGCGCATGCGTAGTGTTCATAATGCGGACCCACGCTACTGGCGCATGCGTATTGTTCATAATGCGTAGTCACGCTACTAGCGCATGCGTACATTTACCTCTCACCAGGTGCAAGGTATTGTGAACTTCGGCCTGGGCCCCGCGGCCTACTCACTTAAGGCTGCCGACAGCAGCCATCCTGAGGGGCCCGACCTCACAGGTAGGAACTCTTACTCCATTTTCCTGATAATGAAGCTGAGGAGCGGATGCAGAACATTTGCTCATTTTTTTTCTATGTGTGGGTATAGGACAACATTAAAACCCTTCCATGGTGTTTCCTTATCCTTAAATGGATGGATGGGCACTAGCTAACTTCTGAGCTTTGCCTTCTAACTCATGCATTATCCTGGCTTCTACGTATGTGTGAGAAAGATGCTTTGTAAACTTGGGAAAGTTGCCACACCAGGAGTACAACACCGTTTCAGATTTTAATTCTATAAAAGATGCTTTTTTTTTTCTTCCCTTCATTATAAAAACAGATTGGGTACTCAAAAAAGGGTCATGATAATCTGCCTACCCCCCACCCAGAAATCAAGCCTGATTTCCAGGTGACAGTGTCCACATATTGTCACAGGAGCCTTTTGGAGGAGGTGGGATGATCTTGGTGACCACACAAGCTCTCACCGCGGCCCGTCGGTATATTCCCCAGCAATCTCTCAGGCCTGTTTAATAAACCCATCCCTCTGGAGGAGATCAGAGACATATAGAAAGGGGCAATTATTTTCATGTATTACTTACGTGGGAAATTTCCAAAGCAGAAGAGCTATTTCTTTGATGTTTTTATTTAAAGATCCCTGCAGAAGATGTCAAGACTCTTGAACATTTATATTCCAACCACCAAAGCGGCGTCTGAGTGAGTGACTTTTGAAGTTTCTGAGCAGCTTCCTGGGGCTTTGAGGTGTGAGTGGAAGACAGCCTGGGAGTGACAGAAGGTTGAAGGGTTCACACACCAGAAAGATTTGCCAAAAGCTAGGGGAGTTCACTTCGGATTCAAACGTGTGCTGGCGAGAGCCTCCCTGACTTCCAGCCAACGTGAGCTCAGAGCAAGGTCCCTTGCTCTCTGTTTACTGTCACAGAGTGTGAGTGAATGTTGTCGAAGTCAGGCATTTGGTCTCCAGTCCTTAGGCTTCTCTTTGGGGTGTTTTCTTAATTGGCTTGTGAATGGAGAGGGATGGAAATGGCTGCACAGCACTGCGTGGGGCAGGAGTAATGGAGACAGTTGTGCTTCCTATGTTCTCTCAGTCCCACCTCTGGTTGCCTGCCTGTAGCCAGACTTTTTTTTTTTTTTGCCTTGGGGAATTTTTGCAGGGCAGAAAGCAGAGGTAGCTGAGCTCTTTGAAGTGAGGATGCAGTGGGTCCAGAGGACTGACTTTGTGAATGAGAAGTGCTCAGGAGCATCCCGGAGCCTGGAAAGAGAAAAGGATGGCAGCCCTGTGATTGGCTGGGTCCACAGTGAGGGTGGCTGTGGGGTATCCAGAGATACAGGGGCCCTGGCACTCCCAACCATGGTTTCAGAGCAGCAGAATCAGGGCTGGGAAGGGCCAAGCCTTGGGAGGATGGGCTTCTCATTGGTAGCCAGTCTGACCCTTGGAAGGGCCAAGGACATTGGCACAGCTGTGTGTGTGTCCCCAGTAATAACTGAGGGCAAACTCCGCCCAGCACTACAAGAAAGGGCTTTGAGTAGGAAGTAAATGGATTTACAGAACACCTGGGATTGTAGACGAAGTGTTAGAGCAGGCAGATAGCTAGATATGAGCAGAGAAAGGGGGATGGTTGCATCTATCGGCAACAGAAGGATCATGTCCACTTGCTACATATAGACAACATTTACAAAAAAAAAGGGGGGGTGCTTTACCCAAAACCTTGATTACATGTCCATACGCCCCACGGGCCCTTCCTTTTAACAGTGTCTTCCTTGGTTTATCTGCAATGTTAGAACCATTGCCACTCACTCCAAGGGAACCCTGCCCACTCCTCCTCTGCAGCACCATGGACCCTTGACCATTAAAAGTCCAGGATGTAGGAAACTTACATAGAATGTAATTTCTCCATAGAAGTCAGTGTATCTTTCAATATTTATTGAATTCCTGCTAATGTGCCAAGAAGTATTCTAGGCACTTAGGAAATATCAGTGAAGCAAAACAGACCAAGGTTCTTGCTTCTGCGAAGCTTATTCTAGTAAAATGCAGTAAAATACAAGTTAAAAATTCACCCTTTCAAGCCCCACATGATTTCATAAATCCAGAATGAAAGTAATTCAACACAGTTATTAAGATAGATTTCTTCCGAATTAAGTTTTCACTGGCTGTGCAGTTCCCCTCATATCATTCTTTGAATCCACCCTCAGTAACGTGAAAAGTACATTATTAACTTTTTTTTGAGGGGGAGGGGTACATTTGCCTCTCGAAGATTTCCCATTTGAAACTTTAATCTGAGAATGACAGAGATGTACCGCAGGAATAAACCTCAGTCACCTGAGCTAAGGAACCTGGCTCCAAAGGTTATCTGAGCCCAAAGGCTACCTGAGCCAAGGACGGAGAGGGACCTGGGGTCCTAGAGACTCAGGAGGCCACAGGGTCAAGTTAACTGGCCCAGTGGAGGCCAGTGCATCTGGGGTGCAAATGCCACCCGGTCACTGCCTCCGGGTCTCTGCTCAGGCTGTTTCCTCTGCCCTGGGGACACCTCCCATACCGTTCTTTGGTCAAGCTGACCTTTCCCTGAGTCTCAGCTTCAACACAACAATCCTAGAAGCAGCCTTGAGCACACTACACAGTTTGAACCCTTTTCCCACCCAGTCACACTCTGCCTGCTAATCACCTGCTCACCCCTAACTGCATCATAGACTCTTGCAAGGTGTAAACTGTGTATTTGGGTTTTGTCTCCAGGGCTTAGCCTTGGACCCCGAGAGATACTCATGAATCTCTGCAGAATAAATGTATGAATTCAGAGTCATAAAGACAAACTCTCCTCTTGCCTGGACAGAACTGACTCCCTTAGCACCAATTTTAGGGAACCCATAAAAAAAAAAAATAGACAGTAGTGTAATAGGCTAAATGGAATGAGAATCTAGCTTGTCAAGAAAGGAAATCTCATTAGAATAATTAAAAGGACTATTAACCCAGACTAACTCAGATATAACTTGCAATGTGTTATGGATTAAGTACTATGGAACATTCATTTGATGGCTCAAACAGTATTAGGTTAGTAACGCAATATGGTTCTACACCTCAATTTCAAGCTTTCCCATTTACGTGCTGATATGTTTCACATCTCTAATTGGAATTCTGAAAGGCAGGCTTCAAAAATGATTTCCTTTGAATGCAAATAGCTGTACCTCCCGAGAACCTTTTACACTGCAGCATTTGAATTTCCCCCGGGCCGTGTCCTTTGACCAGAATTTCTTGCTGCAGGACGACCACAGATGCGTGAAGACGCTCAAGGCACCTTGTTGCATGCTGGGAGCGTGGTTATCGAGTGTATTTCCCCTTTTATACAACCCATTCTTTGCCATCCTTCAAAGCAAGATTTCTGATTGTTCTAAAACCTATTAGACTATGTCTTCATGTAGGGTCCACAAGAGGAAAACAAATTGGCTGGCTATAAAATAAGATACTTTGCTGTCTTATTTTTCTTCTCTGTTAGTATGTACTGTAAAATGCTGCCTGCCGTTTGTAAGGCCTTGGGCTACACATGGGCCTCT